AGGTGCCGTCCCTTCTCGGTGACACATTTTAACACCTTGATCTGAATACACCTGTTAAAGGTTAGAAACTGGGTCACAGTCGTGTTGACTTGTTGATGATGACCTATTTCCTGTTCCTGTTGTCATGGACTTCATTAGTCATTTCACTGCAGAGTCTGGTGTTTTTGTGCACATTAAACTTTGTACCTTTTTTTTTTTTATTAAGTCATTTCCATTATTTTTTTTCTGGCCACCTGGTGGCAGCAGTGGTCAGTACTCTTGTTCAATACCCGTCTGTTTGTGTGTAGCTGCTTGGGTTTTCTGTGTGGTACTCACAGAAAAGACAAGGATAAACTACGGCCCGTGGGCCAGATGTGGCTCGCTGGGTTTCCTAATCCGGTCCACTAAATGTTGTGTTAAAAACTGAACCTCGAGGTGTTGGACTGTGTGACAGAGTTGTGTCTGATGATGGATCCTGGATCAGTCTGTACTAACGTCTCATGATCTTTGCTAACCCTTCAGGTGACACGAACAGATATAAAGTTTATTTATGTCATCAATCAGGTGGGGGCCAGCTGTAGAAGAGCGCCCGCCCGCGCGTGTGTGTGTGTGTGTGTGACACCCGTTGTGATGATGTTTTTTCTCTTGATTGAAGTCAGAGAAACATTTAAACTCATTTAAGAAACACCCGGAGCTAAAGTGTTACGACCAAATCTACTCTCACGTGTCTCTGACAAAGAGGGCGCAGATGTTTGAGGTGTTGATGGTTCTGAACGTCAGGTCAAACGTGTGGACTGTGGCTCGCTGCAGTCTCCATCCGTCCTGCGGGTGATGCTGTGGGCCAGGAACAGCAGAATGGACGTGGACTGAAGGACGCAGGAGCACAAATCAGATTAGAGGGAATGAGACTTTACTGTGGTCACAGTCAACTGGCCGTAGGTGTAAACAGCCGCCTCCTCCGAGGAAACGTGTTTCACACGGAAACAGAGTTTACCACCACACAGGCCGTGGGAATCCATCATCGTTATGACCGCATAACTGTCGCCACGGAAAATACGCAGTCGTTTATGGCGAAGGTGTGTGTGTGTGTGTGTGTGTGTGTGTGTGTGTCCGTCCTGTTGGGGCAGAAGTCATCATGGTGATGCCAGGGGATCATCACGTCATCATCTTCATCATCATCATCATCACGTCATCATCTTCATCATCATCACCATCATATCTTCATCATCTTCATCATTATCTTCTTCATCATCATCATCTTCAGGTCTTGAACTCCTTCCTTCACTTCTTTTATTCCTAACTTCCTGATTTAATCCCAGAAAACATCTCTTACACAGGTATATTCACACAGATGAACGTGAATAAAGACATGAGTCTCACACTCATGAAACCCACGCTCATTAACGCCCCCTGCTGAGCCTGTGGAGACATTACATGTTGGCGCGTCATTCACAAACATCATTAGACTCACTCAAAGTTCCGGTGCTAATTGTTACACCTTCATCAGTGTAATGAGCATCAGTCACAGACCTACTTTCCCTGAGTCACTTCACGTAAGTGACGTCACATGACGTGTCTGTACGTCAACATTTCTTTAACAGTGCAGTTCGTTGGAACTCATTGACTGAATGTTGTTGAGACTGTTCTCCCTTCTCCCACTCTAACCTCTAGCACCATCTTGTGGTAGAAACAGTTTATAACAATAGAAAAGTAAAATAGCACTTGTTTCTGAAAATGGAACATTCTTTATTTACTTTCACAATTTTATACAAATCAAAGCTAATTACAAAAACATACTGACTTTCTTAAGTAAATGTAAACGTCACTCGTCGACAGTCTTTCAGTGGAGGTCTGTGTTTTCATTCACACAGTGAGTGTGTGGCTGTGGGGGGGTCTGTGTGTGTGTTCAGTCTGTGTGCTCCTCCGTCTTCTCTTTCTTGATGGGAAACTCCAGTGATGACCTGAACCTCACCGGTGCCTCCTGCTCCTCCCCCTTGATCGCCGGCTTGGCCACGGGGGCGTGGATCCGCAGCTGTCCGTCATCCATCAGTTTACAGCTGAGGCCGGAAAGATCCAGGTGAGGGGGGAGGTCGATCTTCTGGACGAAGCCCGTCTTAGACGAGGCAGAGGAGCAGAAGGCGGCGCGGGTGGAGGAGGAGGAGCAGGTCTCACTCTCCTCCGCGGCCGCCTGCTTCATCACCACCACGGCCAGGCTGCGACCCTCCACTTTGACGGTGATGTCGCTGGGGGCATAACCGCGAGCGTCCAGCGTCACCAGGAGGTCGCCGTTGTTCTCGGTGGTCTGCTGGGTGGGCTTCTGCAGCTCCGTGCCGGGGGTTTCCCTCTGCTGCTCTTCACCAGCCGTTAGTCTGGAACAGAATCAGGGTTTGGATCAGATCACAGTGACAGACAAACACCAAACATCCTGGAAGGTTCCAGAAATCACAACAACACCAGGAGATCCGTGTGAATGTCATGAATGTCAGCTCAGTGTACATACCCCGTCAGGGTGGAGGAGAGCAGGGGCAGCGGGCGGAGGGTGAGGAGGGGCTGCTCGTCGTGGAGCTCTCTCAGGAGGCTGTCGGCCAGTTTGGACCTGCGGTTGAAGAAATCCTGCTGCAGGGAGGACAGGGGCCCGAGATTGAGGGGCCACAGCAGCCGGTCCTGGCTGAAGAAGGGGTCGTCGGCGAACAGACTGGTGAAGGCGGCGTGCTGTGACATCATGTCAGTGTCCCACGTTGTTCCGGTCTCTTATCCTGCGTCGTCTCAGTCCGGGTTCTGGTGAAGACACAACGTCCTTAGTTTTCTCTTCTCACAAGTTTGAGACATCAGACGCCACACCCTCCCTTAAATACCCCAGCTGCTCTGCCCCGGCCCCCGCCCCCCGACCCCCCTCCCTGTGTTATTTAAACCCAGTGAGCTCACAGCCGTTTGTTAGCATGTGCCAGCGAGGTCAGGAATACCCTGCAACTCATCAAGAGGCTAAAGACAGCTCATGGTCACCCTCCGTCTCTGTGTGTGTGTGTGTGTGTGAGCGTCCACACACACACACACACATTAACATGTCTTGTTGTTTATTCCTCCCTGTTGACTGGACGTCTCCTGTGAACCTGAATACACGGAGCATGAAGTCAGGTTAGGAACGTTCCTCCTGAGAACGTCGTCAGAACGAAATTTAAACCATGAGCTCATGAAAATAACTCAACTGTTTCAAGGAAGTCTTTGTGGTAAAGAAACCTAAAAAAAAAACAATAAACACGATGATTTTATCATCATTTACAGATGAAACCACAGCTCCTGTTGGTTCTACAGGAAGAATATTTTCCAGAACCTAAAAACAGGGGAGTTATAAGTTCAAACTTATAAGACAACAGACCAATCAGATGAAGCCATGAGTCACGACGTCCTGTGGTCAAACATCAGCCTTGAATTCCTTCATACCTTCAATTTCTAACGTTTGTCGTTAAAACTTTAGGTCTGATCCTGATCCTGATCCTGATCCTGATCCTGATCCTGATCCTGATCTACCAGTCGATCATGGAGGAAGTTCAGGGAGATTAATGGTCCCAAAAATGGGGGGCAGGACCTCGTATAGGACGCAGAGCTTGTGGGGACGTCCGATAATATCGGCTAATAATATCGACATTTTCATAATAATGTAATATAGGTTGGAATCGTTATTGGTGCTTGTGGGGACGTCCGATAATATCGGCCAATAATATCGGCCGATATTTTCATAATAATGTAATATTGGTTGGAATCGTTATTGGGTTTTTTCTCTGATCGTGAAAACAGTGAAAACAGTGATAATGTCTGTTGCTCATCTGGACTCATCTCTGACGTGGTCCACAGACTGTGGTGCTGTGTCTCTGTTAGCGTGTGGACATTTTGACATCGTCCACAGGAGGACGCAGCAGCTGCTCCTCTCTGGACACGTAGAGCAGCAGTGTAAACACTGAGCTCCTCAGGTTTCAGCTTCATCACGACTCAGTGAAGGGATGAAGTCAGAGAGCAGTCGTGTGTGTGTGTGTGTGTGTGCGTGCGTGCGTGTGCGTGCGTGCTGACATTATAAGGAGCCTGTGTCATTTCTATTTGCGGCTGTAAAGGAATGGGGATTGTAACCTTGCCTCGCTGTGATTGGCTCACACGGTGAACTGGCTCACATGTGATTGGCTGAGCGCGGCCGTGTCAGCGTGGTATTTCCCACTTCTGCTCGCAACAGCGTGCTAAATTAGCATAATGAAAATTATTATATAAGTTGTTTTCTTCTCATGCCTCTAGTTGAAATATATGTACATACACATATATATACATATATACACACACATATATATTTACTGTCAGGGGATTAAATCCAAGTGTTTTAGCTCCAGTTAAAAGAAAACGTGATTTAAATTCTCAGGTGTTTATCCATTAATAATTTGTGGGACATTTTTGGAGCATCATGGTTCAAGACATAGTCATTATGACGGGTGACTTGAGGTCATGAGTCGTGAAGAGTGCGGTCCAAAAATACACAAGTGTGTCAGTGGACAAGAGGCCAGAATTAGAAAGGAAGATTCAGGACGGCTGTGAATGAGCGGGTTATTATTTCAGCTCCTGGTTTAACGGCTGAAGTCTTTGACTCAAACTCTCATCTTCACTCACTACTAAGGAATGACCAGGAAAAAATAGATAACTTATTAAGGATTCGGGTTACAAGTGATTTGGTGTTTATTAACTTCCAACCTTCCTTATCTGAACTGTGACAAATCACTTCCGTCTCATCATCAGGAGAAGAGAAATAAAATAGAATAAAATAATATTATATATATATACTTCTAATCTAATTATTACGATTAAAACAGACATTAAAACGTTTAACCAACAGTGTTCAGGTCTTTAAACCCGTTTAGTCATCTTTTCTACCTATACTCACCGTGTGCAGTTACCAGTTACAACCACTGGAGGGCGGCATTACACAAAAGCCGACTTGCTGGGGGTAAAAAAATTGATATTTTCTTTTAGCAGCGTTCAAACCAATACTTTTAACAGGCTCAAATGTATTTTATTAGAAATTATATTTTTGAATATTTTAAAATAATATGATTTTTAAATGTATTTTACCTTGTTGTTAATAGTTTCAGTTGCATAAAATATATATATTTCTAAGATTGTGCTCAGATAGAAGATTATCTTAATATAATCCACCAACAGCCACAATGCTCTGTGCTTCTCACACACTTATAACAATTTAATTAATAATCTAATTAATTATTCTGCTCAGGATTTGTCATTTTGAGTTTTTACCCGTGAGGATAAATAACACTAGAGAAAAATCATTTTTATTCAGTTTGTTTCAGAACGTTAGGAAAATCTTTATATTTATTATATATTTGCCATCGAAACACGAAGAGACAACGCACGCTCCGGCGTGCACGTTAGTGACGCGACGTTGTGCCACATTGCGTGCGAAGGGCCCAGGAAGTGATGTGGTGCTGTGAGAATCCCGCCGCCACCGCAGCCCTGTGGCGAGGCAGCCTCCGACGGTTCTCCACACTCACTCTGCTGAACTCTGCCTCAACGTGCTTTCAGTTTCCGCTGCACTGATCACCTGATCTGATGTCTGTTCTGCTCTCAGCTTATGTAAGACATGCACAAATGTGAGAGAAAAAAAAATTCTGTTACTGCTCTCAATGTTTTATGGATGTGTTTGGTGAATTATTGAAGGCAGTTCCTGGATTCAGGTTCAGAAAAACTCTAGAACATTTGGTTCTATGTCATCGGATTTTTTTTGTTTTTTTTGTTATTTCAGGCGTGAAGGATAAAGACAAATAATGTGCTCACTGACCAATAGATGGGTTCTAAAAGACACACACACATACACAGAGTGAGGCAGGAGGCAGACCGTAAAGGTTACGACGGGTCATGTATGAACATCAGTTCTGAAAACAGGAAGAGATTTGGGTGTTAGGATGGCAGTGAACTGTGTCAGCTGTGTGTGTGTGTGTGTGTGTGTGTGTGTGCACTTCTGTTTATGTTTTTAGCTGACTGATCAGCTTCAGTTTCAGGACGTACAAAGAGTCAGGAACGATGCAGAAACACATGCATGTGTGCGTGTGTGTGCGTGTGTGTGTGGTTACAGTGACATCATTTGTTTTACAGCATTTAGGCCACTACACACACACACACACACACAGAGAAACAGTGTGCCCAACAACTGAATATGATCTGGACTGACAGCTAGCCTTCACGCTCTGACGAACCTCTGGTCCTGGAACGGAGGCAGGAGAGAGAGAGAGAGAGAGAGAGAGAGAGGTAGAGGCTGAATGTTAGGAACATATGTTGGGGCCGAGAGATAAAGACGGAGAAGCTTATTTACAGTTGCTGTGTTTTCGGGGCGGTGGACCTGAGGATCTGTGTGGTACGAACCGGGGGGGGACCCAGAGAGGAGCCCCCCCCCTCTGTGGGGCGACCCAGAGAAAGACCGCCCCCTGTGGGGCGACCCAGTTCCAGTGACTTAATCCTAAACAAAAACCTGAGAAACACCAGCAGTCGCTGTGGGACTGACGAGTCACGAGTCAACAGTAGCTCCGTCCAAGTTAACGGCTACATTCCTGCCAGTGACTGTGGCAGGTGATGGTTTTTTTTGTAATTGGTTTATGATTTAAGTGGCTTCTTCAGAACAACAGAACAATTATTTCTGACCTTTTGAATTCATTCACCTGATGTTAATATCACGATGATGAGATTAAAGATGTCTGTCAGATCACTGGCTGCTAATTATGTCATTAATTAACAGGAGATCATTAAACTAGACCTCAGTGTGTGGAATGAGATCTGCATCAAAATGCAGTTGTAGTCGGAGCTTCTGATTGGCTGACAGGCTGGAAATGAGTTAATGACCTTGAAAAACTTCGTTCCTGATTTGAAGCCAGTCTGACTCGTTTTGTTCGGGACTTTTTTTTATTGCCCTATAAAAGAAAAAACACCAGGGGGTTGAACGTAGATCTGTGTTGAATAGACAACAGACCTTCGACTGTCTGTTGATCAATTCTGATTTTCTCAGATCTGGTTGTTTATGTTGTAGTTTTACTGACCTCTAGTGTGGAACTTCAACGACGCAGAACTGCCATCGAAAGGCAAAGATTATTCAGTGTTAGCCTGGTGTTAGCCTGGGGTTAGCACGATTAGCCTAGCCTCGGAGAGCAACAGAATTTTGAGTAACACAGTATCCCAAAATAAAACGCGGTTAACTAAAGTTAACCAGGTCTGTTTAGTTAGTGATCAAGACTGAATCAAGATGAATTTTTGTATTTTTTCAAATTAAGATTTCCAACTCAAAACCATTCATTTTACAAAGACATAAAATCTGAATATCCAGATTACAGGAAAAGGGTTTTATGACTTCAAAAAAAGAGAAAAAGAGGAGGAAGAGGAGGTGACACGGAGGAGAAGAGGAGCGCGGATGGTGGGGGAGATTTAAGGAGCACTGGATCTGCTTAATAGAGACAGTGAGCTGTGATTTAGGGCTGAGGAGGGTGAGGGGGGGGAGGAGGAGGAGGGGAGGAGCGGGGGTGTGTTCTTGGCATAGACTGAGTGTCATTTAATGTGCGAGTGAGAGGAGAAATTATGGCGCGGCTGCTCCTCTGGCCGACTATAGATGTGACACATCGCTCATCGCGGCTGCTATCCCGGCTGAATGGGAATTACCCCATTAACGCAGCCTGAATGCTAACTGCTGGAGCACGCATCAGGCCGGCAGCAAAGAGCTGAGCTGGCTAATGACCGTGTGTCAGCGTAATGTCAGCGTCTCTATCAGGAGGAGGCTGTGGCTCGTTGGGACGGCGAGCCCTTCGCCCGTCGCTCTCAGCCCGGCCTCACGGTCCTCGTCCTCGCAC